GGAGGACGGTCCCTCAAGGGTTACAAGGGAATTAGAAAAGGTACGGTATAAGGAGGGGATGGTCCTTCTTAGACGCTACCTGGAGTGAGAGAGTGTGAGCCGCCTTATCAATGTGAGGGAACCAGGGTCAGGGAGGGGGGGGCTTAACCGGACAAAGCCAAGCAAATTAGCCGTCTTCTCCACATGGATCAACACCAACAGGTTAGACAACTTTAAGTGTTTTAGGTGACAGATGCTGTTTAAGCAAAGGCATTCCATCACACAACAAGAAATATCAAGGAAATCAGCCCTGATTTCACAGGACAAACAGAGAGTATAATAAAAGATGAACAATAGATTAATAGCTCAAATACAGATGTCTTTCCTTAAGAACATTCTTAATATCAAAAAGCAAGCAGGGCAGAGCCAAGCAAGTTAGCACAAGCCATTGCCTCCATCAAGGTCAAACAAAACCAAAATAAACAACTTATTCAATATTCATCATATTGCTTAAGCCAGACTTATTAATAAGGTTCAAAGATAAAGGAACATAAGGAATATATAAAAGGGAGTCAAAGCAGCAAAGCCTCACACAGGGTAAGAAGTGCACCAAACTAGCAGACACAACAAACACAGGGCCTTTTAGACTTAGTTTCAGATGTTGAAATATGCTGATAACTTTTGAATTAATACTGGGTAAATTAACAATAAACATTATTTGAATGGATTATTATATTTTGAAGCTTAATTAAATAATAATAATAATGTGATTCGTCAGCTCAATCCAGAGGGACTTACAAGAGTCCGGTCTCGATGCGTGTTCACTGCCTCCACATTGAGATAAAACAGTTCCACCTTGCAACCTATTGGAACAAAAGACAGAATACATTTAAATAAATAAAAAACGTTTAAAAAAAGAAAATGGTGTTATATTTAGAGGTAAAGACGTACCGTATGCAACAGGGGTTAGCTTGAGTATCGTGTGGAGTGGACATTTCATATATGGTAGATCTTCTGCGGAAAGCGAATGCATAAAATGTTATCATCTTTTTTGTAATGTAATTATTGATATTTTTATGTTTAACCGATTAAACATACATACAGTAGTTTAACCTTCTAGGTAATTATAGTTAGTAATAATACTTAATAATTCAAATGGACAGATGTTTTATTTTTTTAAATAAGTACAATTATAAAAAGTCAAACATTTTTAACAAATTCCATCAACATCGATCCTATGGGGGTTTCTCAAGAGCTTAAACATAGAGAAGGGGCCAATTGAGGAGCCGCCAACATTTATCCCACACAGAGCAATCTTGCACTTGGCTTGTAGTAAACATAGGTCAACCATTTGTATTTCTCTATCAGATAGAGAACACTGGTGTGGATAAATACATAATAAAGGTAATTGAATACAGGTCATGTGATAGAAATATAATATAATCAAAACTGTTCAAATCTATATCACTTACCCCAACTGATATTTGCCCAAACAATACACTTAGATTTGTCAGGAATATAAGGATCAAATTTGTTTCACATTACAGGGGTGATTCTGACCTGCACTCTCGTCCAGGAAGTAAGCCAGCAGGCAGCGCATCACAGCTTGATGGCAGATGACCAACACATTGCCCTGCCTCTCCAGCTCCATGATGACCGGCTCCAAGCGCTGAACCAGGTCTTGGTAGGACTGAAAAAGAGAGAGAGAGAGAAGACTATTTTAACCGCACTCCAAATGTCATGTTCAAACAACAAGATGAATTCAGTGTATTGAAAGTAAAGCATGGAGGGATTATTTCGGGTCACCTCTCCTCCTGGGTAGCGATAATGGTACTTGTCCTGGTCCCTCAGTGCAAACTCCTCTGGGAATGTGTTCTCGATCATCTCATAGGTCATCTCCTCACACACACCCTGGATATGGAAAACAGAGCATTTGTCAAAATGTCAAAAGCACAAGTAAAAAGCTGAATGGATGCTTTCACAACAATATGACTGCAGGATTTAAATACAGTCCACAAAAAAAACACAGCAGTCGTTCCTTTTTAAAGAAGAATGTTAGATTCACCTGTAAGCACAGATATTTACATTATGTTTTAGACCCATGTCGATCAACAGTATTAGGTGGTTTTTATTTGTTTTTAATATCTTGCCCTGAAAAAGGTATTGCAAGGTTGAAACTGGTTGCATTTAAAATTAACAAAAAAAAGGTAATCTCCTTAGATTGCCTGAAGTATTCTCTCTTTACTGTGACCAATATCTTTTGAAACTGGCCTTTTAATTTTTGGGGAATGTTTTTGTGTACATTTACTTGAGTACTTTACTAAAGGGACCCATTTTAGGGACTTATTTTCATGCCACTTTCTACTATTTTTTAAAGGGAAATATTGTTTTACACCACTGCAATTATCTGACAGGAGTAGTTATCGGTTACTTTACATTAAGACATAAAAACAAAATATTATGTTTTGTCATAAATCAAATTACCCAACAGTACTTTACTGAATACCTCCTCTACCACTGGTATTGAGTGATGGACATTAGGATGCCCAACCAAAATGTCTCAGAGAAACATTGCAAATGAAGTTTCTCCCCATCCAAACCAAAGGTACATGAATCTGTAATGAATCTGCTGAAGGTTAGAGGATGAGGGTACTGACGGCATCGATCTCGTTGAGTATCTTCCACTGTTCGTAAGGGACACACAGCTCCTCGGCTGTCTGGATGGTTCTTCTCAGCTGACTCGTCCACACCTTCAAATCTGACAGCTCATGCTCTTCAATGAAATCTCGTAGAGCATGGGAAAACTGCAATGTTGGAGACACAGAGAGAGGTTTCAAATCATCTACCCATTAATAATTTATGTCCTTAATAATTGATTAAATTATTTATTTGCTTTATAAGATCCATGTTCAGCTGATAGCGACAGGAAAACACAAAGTAGAGAAGGTTAACTGTGGTTATGACTCAGGTGTTCATAATACTGCAGTAAGGAACACCTTATCTCACTGATATACCTCCTTAAGAAATGCTTGTAACTGGGTTTCAGGACAGAGTGGTTTTTCAGTTAATTAAGTTAGGATTATAAAAGAGAACCTGTTTCCCTCGAGGAGAAAGCTCAGAGTCTCCTCCGATTCGGCCTTCGACGTTGTGGTCGCTCTCTCCGTGCCGACACAGGTAGATGGAGTGAGAGTGCACTTGGATGTTCATGAGGTAGTACACTATCTTACTCTGGATGTAGTCCTGCACTCGGTTCACCAGGAAACGCCGGCCCACGTTTATCACCTTGATGAAAGATAGGTCCCTGTGTAGATCAATCAATCACACTTTATTTTTAAGCACTTTTCAAACACAAATGTGCTTCACAAGTAGAAATATAAAACAATACCAACCATTCTTTACACTATTTAATGATATTCAATTTAGTGATTAAAGAGGATCTAGTATGCTCATTTTCAGGTTCATATTTGTATTTTGTTCCTCTACTGTGACATCTTTACATGCTTTAATGTTCAAAAAAGTCTTTCATTTTCTCATACTGTCTGTGCTGCAGCACCTATTTTCCCCCTCTATCTGAAACCAGAGCCCAGTCTGCTCTGATTGGTTAGCTGGCTCCGTTGTTATTAGTCAACCAATGAGACATGTCCCGCCCCTTAGCCTATCACATACAATGTGTTGGAGCACTAGCCAATAAAAGTGTGGATGTTGTGTAGTGATGTCCTTTTGTTATGGAAGTAAACAAAGGAACACAATGGAGGCGTTTCAGGCAGGTGAGGGGGAGTATACGAGAGAGAAACTCCCTCTGGAGGGAACTTTGGGATGTTATACTTTGTAGACCATTTACATGCATGCACATAATCACACTTAATAAAAACACAACTCAATAGACACAGTACTGAATAAATAAAAAACATTCATTTATTTCTAATTTCAACAGTAATTATTGAAATGTTATAATTCATGTTTGAAAAACATAAAAAGAGGCAGAAGAAATGAGTCCTTACTTGTCATAATCATCAGGATCTATTGGTTGGTAAGTAACCTTGTAGCACTCAATTCTTTTGAGGAAATCATCCATCACCCTCTCTCTGTGTCTCTCTGGGTAGTCTGGACTGGACACTTTCACTTCCTGTTACAGGTATTCAGCACATTCAAACAATGTAAGAGAGCATAGTGGTTTTCACATAGCACTGTAGATAGTATGAATATGAATAGATTATGGGTTTGACCCAGGCAACAAGTCCAACCGTAATGTCTGGCTGGTGACATGAGATCATACCAGAATATTAGCAGCAATGACCTCTGGGTCGTCACACACCGACTCCACAAAGAACACCTGTTGGAAAAGGGCATCTCACAGGGTCAGCACGTGCTAAACTTCCTGTAATGGTGCATTGAAACAACGCCATCTCACATATTCACCTGCTTTTTATCAGATAGTAAAGACACCCTGTGAAGTTGTCTTTACATGTACTGTCTATAACAAAATGAATTGTGAATTCTTGATGAAAGTAAAAATGTTTTCCTCACGAAACGTTTGCAAACATATACTATTTGCTAATCTTACCTTATAAGCATTCTCTTTCACAAAAGATAGAATGAGGTCTCGTCTTTCTCTTGTTGTGTTTGTTGCATCGAACACCTAATAAAGGAATCACAAAGGAGATTTCTCATGTTTAATGTGGGGTTTCTCTAGTAAATTGTCAGTAACATTAAGGTTGCCTTAATGCCAGATGTGTTTCTGCTCTGGATGTTTTTCAGCTAGTATGTATTGAAACGCAGACAGGGACACGGATCAACATATCAGTAAAAAGAGGACTCACTGCGATCTGCCCTCCCTCCACCGACAGGTACTTCTTCACATCCTTCAGAGCTACCAGAGCACACTGCCTTTGAAAGGGAGGAGAAACATGAGAACAGTGCTGATAAAAAGCCTCAGTATGATCTCATTCACCAAATCTAATACTTACTTTGCTCATCAAGTAAACTGGTGACCAGAAAGAAAATTGGATGTCTTATTTGGAGAATCTTTGAATTTAGGATATCCGTTGTTTCCCGGTTAAAAATCGCTTTACCTCAAAAAAAGTGTATTCTTTTATTTGTACTTCTTTTAAAACAGTGATAAAAATACTTTTCAAAAACTCAGCAGCAATATATTTGTCCAATTACATGTTGCATGATTGATAACCCATAGACCTTAATTTGCACTTCTTTCATGGCGACTATTATTTTTGTAAGAAAAGTTATTTTCGGGTTGAATTAGTTTACCTATGCACGGATGTGTTTTTTGTTGATGTTTTTAACAAAACAGAACCATTCATTTAAAGAGACAGTTTGATATTTCAAACATTTGCTTAGTCTACTTCCTTCCTTGATACCACTTTCATATCTGTAAGATCAATATAAAGCAGTTCCCAATGTATCCAGTCTTAACGATAAACTAAGCTAAACTAAGCTAAGCTAAGGTAAACTAAGGTAAGCTAAGGTAAGCTAAGCCTAGCTAAGCCAACAGGTTGTTGGTGGTAGCCTTTTGATTAAATAAAACTTGATACAATATGAATAGTAAAAAACGTTATATTAAAACAGACATGAGAGTGGTATCAATGTTCTCATCCTTCTCTTGAAATTAAAAGTGATAAAGTATATTTCCCAAACAGTTAGACAATTACTTTAACTCAATGGGATCTGTTTGGAACCAAAGCAAAAAGGTGAACTTCACAAAATAAATTATTCCTTTAAACCAACATATCTGGTATTTCCAATAGCATAAGGACTGCAGCTACTATTTGATTCAGGTTTGAAACCCATGCAGCTGCCTGGCAGACTTGTGTCAGCTTCAGAGTGACAGCGGCAGCTTGTTTAATATCTAGGTCACGATTCAGCTCTGGAAGGCTGTCAGGAGCCTGTCACAAATCTCCTGATAGCCCTGAAGGACAAACCCCATTCCAAAAACCATTACTGGATAAGACCATGAAGGAAAGAAACATTTATTCTCTATACTTTAGAAAAATCTGCAATGGCTTACAGCTGTCACACTAATTTTAGATAAGTGCCAGTTTAAGGTCATAAGAACACCGTGGAGACCCTGGTTTATTATAGAATGTTAGCTCAAAAACTGCTTAGTCACTGATGCAGCAGTAGATGCTGCATAGCATCAAACAGAGCCATGTTGACTGGGAGGAAATGTTTGATCAGACAGTAGAGCTGCTACAGCTTCCCTTAATAGATATATAATGTGCAATCTAATGACTGGACGAGAGCACATTAGTTAGAGTGGAACTTACTTCCTTATTCTCATGGCATCCTCATTGTCATGGCGGAAGAAATCATAGGACTTGTAGGCTCTGACAGCCTCTCTGCGGTACACGCCCAAGTTAAACACTGCAAAATGAAAACAATATATTAAAAGGCTTAATCTGTACACATGTGCATCTTTAAAGTCACCCTCAAGTTGCTTTTTAATAACCAATTTCACCTATTACAACTCAACTGCTGCTAAATTGAGTTTCCTATTCTAAAAATACTCTGACCATCATTGCAAGAATATCTGAAGATTTCCATTCCTTTGGCGGTTCAATATCAATTACAGTATAAAATATGAAGTGAGCGTTTTTGATTGTTATTTTCGGTCTGCACCTCATATGATTTTTTTAATCATCACAGCGATTCAAGGATTTTTGGTTAGTTCAATGAGAGTATCAGTAGAAAATAGCACTTAAAGGTGACCTATCATGCAAAATGCACTTTTGTACGTCTTTTATACATGAATATGTGTCCCTGATGTTCCAGGGAACTCACCAAGTGTCAGAAAACACAACCCTCTCTATTTTCCTCCATACCCAAATCTCTTAAAAAGGGGCTGCAACGGATCTGATACAGACTGATCCAGATTTGAACACTTCTATGACGTCACAGAAGTGGCGCTACGGCTATTGGGCCAACTCCACCAATCAGGAGGAGACAGCCACGGACATTGCCTTCGAAAGCGCTGGAGACGCTGTAGTACATATGCCAGGCCTGTAGATGGTGCCGTTCTCACAGAATCAGCCCATGCAAAGACAGTGTTAAATTGAGAGGAATGAGGAATGGCTAAAATGCATGATCTGTTTGGTATTTTGAAAAATAAAAAGTATAAATATGCCTTATATAGGTATGGTCCTACACTATATTATTCAAATATAGCATGATAGGTCCACTTTAAAGGTGGGGTAGGTAAGTTTGAGAAACCGGCTCGAGATACACTTTTTGCTATATTCCATGGAATTCTCTTAACATCCCGATAGCAATGAATATCGTGCTTTTACAAAAAATCCATAAAAAACATCATCTGTGTCATACTGTAAAAAGCACCACCAATCATTTTAGCCGGCCCAGCTAAAATGACTGGATGGCCTACCTGCCTGTCAGCCTTCCATCTGTGCACACCCTTATCTCGTGCCCTCATTGGTCATGTGCACGTTTGTGTGTGTTGGAGGAGGGGCTCTGTAAGGAAGTGGCAGATTTTTTCTGGCTGTGTATTTTCAAATTCGAGCGCACTCGAGCTGGTTTCTCCAGAATTACCTACCCCACCTTTAATACAGTGTAACTATTCTTTTTGACATTGCTTCCTTTTGTGTTCTTTTTTATTCAACAAGCAAACATGTTGCACTTTAGCAGTATACCAAAAGAAGCAGAAAGGCAGAACTGAAAATACTTTCATATGATATCGCAAGTAATATCATTTTTGCGAAATTGAACGACATCACATTTTGCATCTTTTCCTAATAACATGCAGCTCTAATATATAGTCAGAATAAATGAAAAGACAATTAAACAGGTTTCCATAACATGTCTTGTACTTACCTTTGGTTGGGACCCCGATCCAGTTGAGGTAACGTGTGAGTTTCTTTGACATGTAGGTCTTCCCTCTTGCAGGCAGGCCGATCATTACGATCACCGTTGGAGAATTTGTCATATAAGAGGCCCATGCTAAAAGGACGTAGATCATAGGTCACTTCAATGGTAATCCCATGCATAAGAAAAATAAGCAAATAAATGACGTCATAATGTAAATGTACCCAATGTTAGTCAACCAACTGATGAGTCAATTAATTGATTAGTTGGTCAACAACAAAATTATTTATTTTGATAATCGATTCATAATTAAAGTCATTTCTCATGCAAAAATGGCAGCCTTTTTCAGCCTTCCAAATATGGAGATTTTCTGTGTTTAACGTCATTTTTAACTGAATATCTTTGGGTTTGTACTGACCACACAACCCATTATTAAACATTATCTTGGACATTGTGAAACTGGGATGGACAAATCACTATTTGCTGACATTTTATTGACAAGATGATTAATAGATTCATTTAGAAAAATAATGATGAGATAAATCCATAATTAAATAGTTGTAATAATGGTGTCTATTCTTGCAGGATAAGGACACTTACATAACTAGGCCATGTTTCTACTGGACAAAAATAATTGTCTCAGACAGGATCCAAAGAAATTAAAAATAAATCATCCCTAGAGAAAAAAGCAATTTCCTGAAGAACAGTGGAAAACCACAGGAGTCACACTTTTTTATATCTTCTTCTTCACACTTTAGTTTTTTCGCCCAGGTGTTCACCTTTTCATTTCATTATCTTTCGCAGGTTGGAGTCTTAAAGGAGACATTGGTTCATACTTATATTTGGGTTTCTACTAGAACTTGTTAAATGCTTCAGTGTTTAAAAAACAACACTCTTTTTCTCCATGAGAATTGATTATACCTATATCGTCCCATTTGTATGAAATCAATTGCGTTGCTAGGAAACAACTTGGGTTCATGATAACTTCCTGTAAACTGGTTTCATACACATGGTATTTACATCTAAAACTGTGGGATGGTCTTCATGTATTGTGTTGTATTATCACAACAATCAGAAGTCCTGAAAGCTCATTTAAATTAAGTTTAAGAGTTCAGGATTGAGCGTTTAGATATGTTTACAACATTTAATAATAAAAACTGCTTTAGAAATATAAAGTAGATTACAAAGTCTATTTTTACAATATAGAAGGCTTTAGTGAAGAAGTGGCAGTGTCCCAGGGAGTTGATTTAGAAAATGTGTTATAGATCCAGTGAACAATACAAGGTTTTATATTACAATGGCACCTGTAGACTGACTGCAGTCATCCAAAATAACGTGTTTAAATCAAATTATTGTGGTAAAATGGTAAAACCTCGACTTTACTTACAGCATTTCTTTTCCTTGGTTCTCAGGTCTGTTTTCGTAGCTTCTGCCGAGTTTGAACAGCCATTGTCTATCTGAGTGCACGACATGTTTATGTTTTTTTGAGTCAAAATCAGCTGTCCCTTGATGTATTTCTTAGAGGGGCATCATCCAAGCTGATCTGAAACAGATGAGTCACAATAAATGTCATCCATTACTTCCATGCATCTCTGGTAGAACAGAATCTTGCACAAATAGCAATAGGCTACATTCTCCAAATAGTATGTGTTTTTGGCTTTATGTATCCGTGGTAACATGAGCCAGAGGAGTTAAGGATGAAATGTTGCCACATCATCCGTTTACAAAAACCCCGCTTTGGCTGAACACACTGTAGCCGCATAAGAGCACGCGGTGATATCCTCTCTGACGGGGGTGATTTGAGTTCATGCGACACTTAATCTGAAGTGAAATATACAATATAATCCAACTCAAACATAATCCTTGCAGGACGCGTTTCTAACAGCATCTCATTAAAATTGCTTTTTTTACCTGCTCGATAGGCGGAAAACAAGTCTTTCCGGTCGGCAAGCCTCTGCGGACAAGGTCGGCACGCGGGTCTCTCGAGCTGCCTGGCCGAGAGTTTGATCCTGCCGCTGCGGCCGGAGGAGGCGGTCTGCTCGGCCTGCCCTTGGAGCTGGGGTGCCTCCTTGGCCGGCTGGTGTCCTTCCAAACTGGAGGTGTGCCACTACGTCATATTTTTTTGCCTACCGTAACGTTGATAATAGATCATACGTAAACGCGTAAAGCTCTAATGTATTAAAAAGACAACATAATAGGATTTTTTTAGAAGGCAAAATGTTAAAAGAGAAACATTACACGATTGATAGGTAGATAAAAACATTTATTCACCTCTAACAAGTATTTTCTATAAGCAAAACTTGGCATAGTTATTTCCTTTGACAATAATCATCGACACAAAACACAGATAGTGGTCATTATTTACAGGTACCATTACAAGTTTAAGTGCTAAAATAGACCCCCAAATAAATAAAGCCCTCTTACAATCACAAAATTTCCTTTTTAAACAGTACAAAAATCAAATTCCTATGAAAATTCATTTAATTAAGCTGGCAGCCCCTTTTGATTTAGCGGCTTCAGATAGCACAAACTAACTGTAAATCAAGCTAATATACTGATGGGAAAACATCAGTGAATAAGACTATATAAACTATCCACTCCAGGTCTGTATTTACATTTCGTTGTGCGTATACACCTCTGGATGCCACAGATGCCTGAAATGATCTCAGACCTCAAAATCACCCCTATATTTAACGACACACTGAAAAGGGGTAAAACATTAGGCACTGGTTTAGTGGCGTGGTGGATGGACACCAACTGAGCCGCCAGCAATTGTGTGTGAGCAATAGTCAGAGCATCTCAGGCTTGGGAATGACTGATGAAACTCGAGAGACAGACGTTTCTGCTGGAAGGCACAGACAATGAATAACAGACAGTAGATTTGCACTTTTTTGATGAGACGCTGTAGGTGTGGACAGAGCTTCTGGTATCCAGTGTCCGACTGTTAGTGGTTTGCTCTTTTCACATTAAGGCTTGATTTTCCACAGCTGGAAATGAAGCCGAGGAGATACAACTTTTGTTAGAGGAATCTTAAAGAAAACACACACACACACAGCACAACATTTTGGGAACGCTTATTCACTATCTTTTAGCGAGTCTATCCCAGTCCCATGTCTGTGCTATAAATGTGGAACTACAACCAGGAGCCGATTAGCTCAGGTTGTTTCAGCATAGTTCAAAAATGTACCACGGATTAACAAGATGTATCTTTTGTTTTAACCATAAAAAACTACTAGTAATAGTTAATAAGTGAGCATTAGAGAAGTTAATTGATGTATTTTTGAACTTTGAATGCAGCTAGACAGGCTATTTTCCGATGCTCCCAGTCTTTATGCTAAGCTAGGCTCACAGCCTCTGGGCTCCAGCTACATACTGTTCACACACAAACATGAGAGTTGTACACATAACTTAATACTAAAGGAAAATGTGCCTATTCAATTAAGTATATTCACAATAGAGGGATTGCTAAATTACACATGAGATGTAATTTAACTTTAGCAGAAAGACCCTCACTCTGATGTTGAAGCCGAGCAGGTCGCTGACCACAGCAGACACAGCGGACAGGATGACCACTCTGGTGATATTGTAGATCAGAGGGTTCACAGTCAGACCCAGCAGTCTGAAAGGTATATCCAGCTCCTTAGGAGGAGAAAGGGAATACAATGTTATATAACTTTACAAAATGAGTCAAAGCTAGAATGAATTATGGAGGTTATTAGAGTGTAATACTAAGGGACAGTTAAGTAGTTAAACATAAAGTGAGATGACTGAACACCAATTATTGAACAATTTTAACTAACAAACATCAACTCAGTCAGTGGAAGTAACAGTTTTATTAACATAGTCAACAGGATGAGGAATTATATATTTTTTATTTTACAAAATTGTTTATTTTCTAAAAAACACATTTTAAACTAACTCTGAATATTTCATTATTTAAGTGAAACAATGGGGAAAATAATCTAACCTAAAAGTGCTGCCTTTATCTTATTTTGAAAGGATTAGAATGCTAATATATGCAGCATTTTACACTTAAAAATCAAACAAAGCCCCTCTGATGGTACATTCAAATTGCTTACCTTCATCAGTTTTGTAGCTAGTTTTAAAACGTTGTTCACAATGTTGAGTTCTTCTTTCTTATTGGGTTTTTTCTCCATCTTGAGATACAAATTGATCTGCAACCAAGAACAGTTTCACATAATATAAATAATACAATAAAGTCATGGTCATTTTTTAACTGAATGATATACCGACTGTAAATCATCCGATAGTATTGCTGTACAAGGCTGAACCCACAGAGAAATAACCTGCAACTCCATGTGTTTCCCTCTTTGCAGACACAGATTCTTACCTGCTCAGTGAGCAGCACTGAGGAGTTGCTGTATTTGCAGTTTGTCTCTGAGCCGAGGGTTGCCAGCCGTAACAGAAAGAGGATGAGGGAGGAGGCCCACACCATCAGCTCCCAGTTAGTCAGGGTCTCTAGGAATGTCTGGTGGTTGCGCAGAAGCTAAAGAAGGGCAACAAAACAACAACAGTGGTTATTCTTGTAGCCCTCAGAAATTAGTTGTTGTACGAATTGGGATTCAACTGTATCATGACATTTCATTGTTTTTAACTGACACTTTTATCTAAAGGGACTTAGAATAAGTGCAATATACCAAAAAGATACAAACTCAGAACAGCAAGAAACATGCAGGCTCATTTGTTTCAATAAGCCAAACCATTGTAGATGCTGTTGCATTAGCTTCAAATGAGCTAAAACCATTTAAAGAGCAACTTGCAGGTTAGAGACACCAGTGAATAAATGTGTAAGAAAATGATGTATACACTAGATTTTCCAAAAGATATACACTACAGTGACATCTGGTGTGTTTTTTGTAAAACATTTGTACTTCCGCATAAAAAAAGCCTCCCCACGTGACCTCCCGCGTGTGGCGTGACATGGGGGAGAGTGGCCGGTCTACCGTAGTAATAAACATGGATCGGAATGCTAGTTTTGACACAGAAGAGGTTGAAAATAAATATTTGAATGCATATGACGGACCACAATGCGGACCTATGCGTCCAAGAGACCGGAGGCCTGTACTACGAAGCTGGATTTTCGCTTAGCCGGCTAACTTCAGGGAAAGCTCGGGCTTTCCGGTCCTACGACGCTGGTTCTCTTTTTAGCAGGCTAGATCTCCATGGTAACTTATGCTGTGCGGCTAACCTGCCCCGGAGCAGGTTAGGTTGCAGGCTAAGAGCTCAACTCAGTGAAAGCACTGCCTGCTGACCAATCAGAGCTCAGTGTACAGAGTTTAAAGCGATTAAGTCATATTGGAGGAGTGATGGACGACGGTTAGTCGACACGTGGGAGGCCTGATGTGTGGACGAAAGGTAGTTCGGTAAATGCTGCCGTTATAGTTGTTTGTAAATATATCGATAAAAGAGTATGGACCTACAAAATCGCTGCGCTCTATGCCGACTATGGAAACGCGTAATCAAAGACAATATTCCTAGTCATAGTTGTCAGGACGTCATTGCAATGATATAATAGTTACGATGAAATCAATATCGGGATATATATAACGATTGAAATGTTACGACACTAACACACTAGACTGCAATTCGATTGTAATTGACATCGATTGCGGCCATTGAGTGGTTCTATCGAGCGGACAAGAGGATAAAGAGAGGCTACCGGGGCAATTCTTTAGAAGATTAGGAACCGAGGGCTCCGGACCATTATGCTTCGACCTAAAAGGATAGGACCCTATGACAAACTCAATCGGCCAACCGATTAGGTTTTTGTATGCGCGACAGGCGATTTGCCATGATGTTGCGACCACATAGTTCTCCTAGAATTCGGTCGGCACGGATAGATTCAAAATCCTGGTTAAAGACTTCCCACCATAATCCCGAGGATAGGTTGCTTCGCGTACTGTCGTGTCGCAGTGAATGAATACAGTTGAAATTAATCTGTTTATACTTCTTCAATGTATAATGTAGGTAAGTGAATAGGGTCCTATTTCGGTGTATCAAGGGAACGTCACTTTGTCGACCATTTTCTCTCCTACTTTGCGAATGTCCAATACAGGTGTTTGCAGATTCTGTGCTCACCTTGAGAAAATCTATACTGTAAACAGAGCTCACAAGATGTGTATTACACAACTTATTTATTAGAAGACGGTATGTCAACACGTTTCCACAACTCACGGTCCGGTCTTATGGTATGGTGTATGCTCTATAATAAGATATATTACACTTATGTCGCCCTGCCCCTGATATAATATGAAACATGCAATGTAATACAACGTCTAAAACATCTGAAAGATAATAATAATAGGATACAATCAGCAACGATGACTCACTCCTTTCCTACTAAAGATATTACAAGTGCAAGTGTGTCAAGACAGACACTAAAAACGCCGGCAGAAAGGGACGTTGCCGTCGGAAAAGACATAAAGGGGGTGGGGGGANTTGAGGGGAGATCTCCTCGATTAAATAAAAAAGGGCTTGTCTGCCAAAACGAAACCTCTCAATCAGCTCACTGAATAGATGTCCAGTGGGTTTGTTTGATCACGGACGACTCTCTCGTCTTAATGCCCTTTCGTTGTTACAACATGTAAACAAGACGCACTGCCATAGTTATTTTCCTTCTTGCCTGTTTTACGTTACTATGGATACTAGTCTCTCTTTCCGATTTACGCCTGCTCCATACTAGGCGTAAAAGTTACACCCGGGCGCAACGCATACAGGGCTTAAGTCTAAGTGGTGCACTAGTCATAACTTTAGTTTGGTCTTAACCTTCGGTTCTAAGTCGGACGTAGAGTTACGCCCAGCTTACGCCCAGTTGGTGCACTCCACTGCAGCAGGACTCAAATCCAGAACTCAGGATAGAGGATCCAGGACACACGACCACAGCAACATGATTAGCCTCGACTCAGGATCCCGGCGTAGATAGACACCAAAAAGAAATGTGGGGGAAGCTAGGTTATTCGGAACATGAGAGTACACAGGTACAGACAGAGAAAAGGAAGAAGTAAGGTGTCCCCCGACAGTCCAAGCCTATAGCAGCAAAACTAACGTGTCTCCGTACATGCACTCTCTTAGGATAGGTTGAGGGAAAGGGGTAGCAAGTAAGAAGAAAGGAACATGACGACATGTCTTGTCGTGTACTGTACTGTATATATCTAATTAGATCTCACCAAAAGCCCTCTGAGGAAGGTACTAGAAAACGGATAGTCTCTCAACTTGACTTCAGCCATTGCAGCTGACACTTATTGAGTTACCCAATATGTGAATATGTTCAACTAGTATTACAATCCACATTATCCTTACACAAAATACAGTCTGACGGCTGTTTGAATGTAAGTTAGCGCACTTAAAAATCTGTGAGCTAACTATTATAATACTATACTAGAACCATGATACTTTATTCATCCCGGGGATTTTTTTCCCTTTTTCCGACAGTTGCTCTATATAAGAATGAAATAAATAAAAGATAAATACAAAATAACTCAAATGAAAATATTTTTTTAAACATCAGAACAAATATTAAGATTGTGCAATAAAAACATACAATTAAATAAATATATTAATATGAAGATATCATGTAAAGTAAAATGTGAAATAAAAGATGAAATAAGCATATTTAAATAAACATAAGCAGTTAAACTAAAATGCCAAATAAAAGATTACAAAAATATGCTACAGAATATTTATACGGTTATTAAAAGTGAGAGTAAATATTTGCATTTTGCACACCATCAATGGTAATTCACTAAAAGGCAGATAAAACTTGACAATATCATTCATTAAAACATTTGTTATCCTGTATGTATCATTCGTTCCTAGCTGGAGGTGGAGCCCCCCAGCCAGAGGAAAGTGAAGCTGGGGTCTCTGATGTTGGGTCAGAAAGTGAAGAAACAAGTAGTGCTGGTCAACCGGAGCCTGTTAGACATTTCCTTCACTCTGATGCTTAACACAAACACACCACTGGACCTAAGGGTATGAAACACTTACAACACATATGCACACACACAGATAAAGTGTTTATAGGGAATTTATACAGAATCAACGCTTGTCACTTCACTCTCCTCTCCTGTGTTTAACCTCTCCTCTCCTCCAGGACCTGTCCTTCAGTCCAGCAGGAAAGCAGAGCCTGAAGGCCAGTGTTGGTTCATGTAACGTTGAGATCCAGTTCTCTCCTCATCAGCACATACCTCCCTTCTCTGCTGAGCTGCAGGCGGAGGTAGCAGGCCTGCTGCTCCCCCTGCTGACCATCCAAGGCTGCTGCCAGGTAGGCTGTCAAACACATATGACGTCATTTTACAAAGCTGGTGCAAGTGATGCTCTTCCTTGACGTAATTGTGTGCACTAACAAGACCATCATTCTATTTTTACTTTATGTTTATTCCTTTGACGTTCGTCCTTTAAAGGAAACATGGCCAGTATCATGGTGAAACTTCAAAGTAATTGTTATGAAGAACTTGCTATCCTTAGAACATTTTGTCCTCATTTATTTCATGATTTCTAATTATTTATTGACAGGTGTATATGAAAATGTTTTCTTCTTCTTTTGCCTATGATTTTTTTCCATGTATATCTTTTTTTTTAATTTAATTGTTGTCTTCTCATTAATTTGTGTTTTTAATCACTTTGTGTTCATTGTTTGTTGTGTGTTTGATTATCTACGTTTACATTTTTCCTTTTGTTTTATTGTTTGTTGTTCTATATTACTTGAGGGGAGTTTCGAACCTATGGCTTCTTAACCTCACCTGACACATTTCTTATTATATCTGGATTTCATGCAGTGTAATGTTTGTTAGCAAATACATAAAACAAAACTATATTCATATTATCTTCACACACATTTGGCAGAAAACTGTATGTACATTGAGAAGAATGACACTACGTTTATCTTTACAGAAACGTAATTATACAGTTATTTGAAGGTCTTTTGAATATGTTTATGCATGAATTAGGCTAGACTCAGGTTAACCACTGGTTCTGATCTGACCTGTCAGGTAGTGGAGGTCCAGTTGGACCAGGACCACCTGGCCTTCGGAGCTGTTGTGCAGCGCTGCCAGGCCAAGAAGAGGATTCACATGATGAACACTGGGGACATTGGTGCCAAGTAAGATTAGATATATATCAACTCATTAGTTTAATTGTTTAGAGGTTTAGATTGTTGTGTGCTGTTTTGAAAAAGATTAAGAAGACTCATTGTATCCTCATTCTTTATCTTTAATGGTATAATAACATCAGTTTTGTAGTAGTTCACTTTAGTTAACGTATTGGATTTACATCTTATTATTTCATTTTGTTTAATCTCTTTTACCAGGTTCCAGTGGAAAACAGAGGCCTTTCCTCCAGAGTTGTCCATCTCACCAGCTAAAGGCTACATCTGTCCAGGCATGGAGGTTCCTTTCTCAGTGACCTTTGCCCCAGTAGAAGTGAATAATGATATAAGACATGAGAACCTGTGCTGCTGGGTGGAGGGGTCCTCCACACCCGTCAGATTCACTGTAGCCGGCTCCTGCATCGTAGCCTCCACCAGCAAAGAGGTTTGTTGGCTGCACTTTTATACAGATTAATTACGAATCTAAAAACACATTTACATTATAAATGTGTTCATGGCATGTACTCATTTAGGGGAGATAACACTCAATATAATAATAATCTTTATTTGTATAGCACCTTTCATACA